CAAGGGAGGCTTTACAGTCATAGATCTTAGCTGGCTTGGAGTGCTGCCAGGTCGATATTTGCAGAACTTGGCAAGGAGTCTTGGAGAGTCACGAACCAATTCAGCGAACTAATTGTCTCCTGCAAACTCCACTCCCCTTTCGCTCCTATTTTATTCCCTCTGGGAGGGGCCGTTCATCATCCACCTGTGGCCTTCATCCCAAGTCAACCCCTGTTCTTTAGCTGTTCCCTTCCTCTGGCCACTCTGCACATGGGCACACTGGGAACAGGCTCCAGCTGTTCGCATGCCTCACTGATGTCTGACTCTGAAGGCAGCTGATAACAGGCATATGGCTCTGGCTCCCTCTCTGCCTCTGACACAGAGCCCTCATCAGAACCTTCCCCAGACTCCAGGACTGGCCCATCTTCCTCCCCAACCTCCTCACTGTACGAATCTGCTGCCATCTCTGCTGGCCGCTGGCGGGCCATAATAGTTATAGGACTGAAAAACAAAGCAGACAAGGCTTCCTTCCTTTTTGTCACCAAAGCCTGCTGGAAACTGACATCAAAAAGATTTCAGAAAACTAGTCACCAGCAAGGACTTGAGTATGTTGGTTGCATTCTTCTGCGCATGGAACATTTGGTCACCGTACAAAAGACCAACCTTGGGAAATCTGTTGGTAGAGAATGTCCCACCATATCTCAAACTCCAAGGCACAATCTCTGAATTCGTCAACTTATGGCATCTCCATGTCTATGGAGATCTATAGACATCTCCATGTCTATGAAGATTCTCAGTCATCTAGGTCATGTCCCAAAGGTGGACTCCCCCTCCCCAAAAAAGGCAACAAAATCCAGTTGCCTTTTGAAAAACACCTTTAGTTCATCATATGATGTTTCCTTTGTAAACCCATCAAGACAAAAACACAACCACTTTGAGAAGCCGGACATCATTAAGAGAAGTTGCCCGTGTCTATTTACAGATGCTATTTAATATTCCAACAATAAGATGTGTCCTCTTTCTTCCTCTAGTGTCTCACCTGTTGGGCATTCCCAGTCTGCTACTAGTTTTATTCCTCATCCTTCCCGCAATTCCTTGAACTAATCTAGAACCATTTGTACCACCATCAAACCTGGACACACTGTTGGAACCTTATGAGCTGATCATCAGCCTTTCCAACAACTGCAGAGTGCAGGAATTAGCGTTCGCTTGTTAATGCGACCTTCATACAGGCTATTGCAATTATTTGTCCAGTCATTTCTAAACAATCAAAGCAGGTGATGCAGAGGAGAATTCTGAGCCAAATCTTACTCAATTTAAAAGAGGAAATAAAAGGTAAACTGGCCTCTCACTGGTGCCCCTTCCCGTTGAAATTTCCCACCGTCAAGTTCCAATGCATCAACTACAGATCTATATTTGCAAAAAATTAATAATAATTATGTCTGCTTCATCAAAGCTTTGTGTGATCCACAGGGTCAGATCTGATCCAGGAACAATCCAATTGCAACATATGGATTGTCGACTGTCTGGAATCTTGAAAGATCTCCAGGCATATCTTTCCAAATGTTAATGCAGGGGTGTCAAATTCAAGGCCCTTCGGCCAAATCCAGCCCGCAGGGTGCTTAGATCTGATTTGGAAACAGCAAGGGTCTGGCTCATGGTGTCTCTGCCCATGAAAACAGTGCTCAGGGGAGGATAGGTGTAACATGGGTGTGTCTAGGTCCACCCAATATCGCTCGCGCGGCTGCATTCTGGACCAACTGTAGTCTTCAAACACTCTTCAGGGGCAGCCCCATGTAGAGCGCGTTACAGTAATCCAGTCTTGAGGTGACGAGGGCGTGAGTGACCATTTGAAGTGCCTCCCAGTCCAGGTAGGGCCGCAACTGGTGCACCAGGCGAACCTGGGCAAAAGCCCCCCTGGTCACAGCTGACAAATGGTGTTCTAATGTCAGCTGTGGGTCCAGGAGGACACCCAAATTGCGGGCCCTCTCTGAGGGGTGTATAATTTCACCCCCCAGGCTAAGAGGTAGGAGTCACGTACAGCCCCCCCCATGCCCCATTTTTGCTGGCAGAGGGCTGCAGGAGGCTGTTATAGCCAAAATGGACTGGGAATGGGGCATGCTGCCACCCTGGGTTCCATTCTCGCTGGCAGAGGGCTATGAAAACAAACTGAAAACAAAACCAAAGGAGAAATGTTTCCCCTTTTGCATTTGAGCCTCCAAGAAAGGACGGGAAAAGAGAAAGGGAAAGAGGAAAGGCAAAGAAAAAGAATGGAAGATGGGGAGAGAACAAGGATGGAAAAATAAGGAAAGAGGGGAAGGAAGGAGAAGGAAGATGAAAGGAAAAAGAAGAGAAGAGAAGGGAGGAGGGAGGGAGGGAGGGAGAGAGAGGGAGGGAGGGGGGAGGGAAGGAAGGAGATTATGATGAGAGTGAGGGAGGGTCTCAGGGAAATCCTGTCTTAGCACATGGCCACCATAGGAATCTCCAACACGAGTGACATCTCGTCCACCCCGTGACACACCCACCATGGCTACATCCATCACCCCAGTCCTCCAAGGTCAAACACAACCCAGATGCTTCCCTCAATGTAATCGAGCTCGCCGCACCTATATTAATGCATGAGGTTTCAAGCGACCCTTTTCCCTCTCTCACATCACATACCTGTCTTCTCTTCTACACGGTGTATTTTATCCCGGAATACCCATCTTCCTGTTTGCAGGCCACCTCTTACCTTTGCTAGAGAGATGCTTCCATGTTACTGTCGGTTCTGGCCTTCCAAAGGCTAAGCACAGGAGAGTGACACTGCTGCCTTCATTGATGGTGATGTCGGATGAGATGTTGATAATCTGGGGGGGAACTGCAATGAAACAATGGGGAAGGACATCAGTACATTATGCATGTTCTGCTGGTGTTAGTGATGGCAGGTTTGTTCTTCTTGACCTACTCAATACGCATTTGACTTTGATCCCTAATTTGTTTTAGTAAATTATCCTCATTTTGCGTAAAGCCAATTTTTTTTTATCTTTTTTCCATCTGGCCTGTAATTGCCCATACTGAAACCATGTTTGAATTACCTTTTCCTCTTTTAGTACATTCAAGGGTTTTCATTGTAATACGCCTCTTTCTAAAGTGAGAAGCTGTCTGTATGTAGTTACATCCTGTTTTTGTACTATATTTATGTTCTCTATTGCATGTCTGGAAATTGCCCACATAGGTATCTTATCGTTTAGTTTATATTGATATTTTTTCCAGACCCGTAGTACAGCATTCCTTAAAATATGACTTTTAAAATTCTTATCCACATTCTTGTCATATAACAAATAAGCATGCCAACCATATACCAAATCATGCCCTTCGATATTAAGTATTCTATCATCTGTTGAGTTAATCCAATCACTGATTAATGATAAAATTACGGCTTCATAATATAGTTTTAGATTTGGCAATTTCAAACCTCCTCTCTCGCGTACATCTTGTATTCTTTTAAGTTTTATTCTCGGCTTCTTCCCTGCCCAAACAAATTTATTAATACCCTTCTGCCATTCTAGCAAGTTTGCATCTTTTTAAAGTATTGGTATCATTTGACTTACTCAATATGAAGAAGACATTCATTTCTTCCTAAATAACCCCAGCAATAGATATACATACTGCTTCACAGTGCTTTAGAGCCTTCTCTAAGCAGTTTACAATGTCACACATTTGCCCTCAACAATCTGGGTCCTCATTTTATCCACCTCAGAAGGATGGAAGGCTGAGTCAATCTTGAGCCAATCAGGATTGAAGGATATGCTGACTCTGTAAACTGCTTAGAGAGGGCTGTAAAGCACCATAAAGTAGTATATAAATCTAAGTGCTATTGCTGTTCCTTCCTTCCACCCTCCCACCTCCTTCTTTTCCTCCCTCCCCCCTCCCTTCTTTCTGCGATGGTGCAGGGGTCAAAATGCAGTATTGCAAGCTAACTCTGCCCACAGCCAGGAGTTCAATCTTGACTGGGTCAAGGTTAACTTAGCCTTCCACCCTTCCGAGGTCAGTAAAATGAGGACCCAAATTGCTGGGGGCAAGATACTGAGTCTGTAAACCTCTTAGAGAGGGCAGTAAAGCAGTATATAAGTCTAAGTGCTTTTGCTATTTTCCTTCCTTCCTTCCATCCCTCCCTCCTTTTCCTTCCTTCCTTCCTTCTTTCCTTCCTTCCCTCCCTCCCTTTCCTTCCTTCCCAGTGGTTAGAATGCAGTATTGCAAGCTAACTCTGCCGACTCCCAGAGGCTCAATCCTGATTGAATCAAAGTTCACTTAGCCTTCCATCCTTCCTTCCGAGGTGGGTCAAATGAGGACCCAGATTGTTGGGGGCAAATTGGCTGACTCTGTAAACTACTTAGAGAGGGCTGTAAAGCACTGGGAACCACTATATAAGTCTAAGTGCTATTGCTACTGTAGAAAGCTTTCCTTTAGTAGTCCTTCCACATCAGCAACCCTTTTGGTGAAAAGGCTGGAAAGAAGGAAGGAAGGAAGGAAGGCCGGACTGTGGTGGCACAGTGGTTAGAATGCAGAATTGCAGACTAACTCTGCCAACTGCCAGCAGTTTCATCCTGATTAACTCAAAGTTGACTCAGCCTTCCATCCTTCTGAGGTGGGTAAAATGAGGACCCAGATTGTTGGGGGCAAGATACTGAGTCCGTAAACCTCTTTTACAGACAGTAAAGCACTGTGAAGCAGCATATAAGTCAAAGTGCTATTGCTGTTCCTTCGTTCCTTCCCTCTCTTCTTTCAGCAGTGGTGCAGTGGTCAGAATGCAATTCTTGCAGGCTAGTTCAGCTCACAGCCAGGAGTTCAATCTTGACCGGCTCAAGATCGACTCAGCCTTCCGCCTTTCCGAGGTGGGTAAAATGAGGACCCAGATCATTGGGGGGCAATAGGCTAACTCTGTAAACTGCTTAGGGAGGGCTGTAAACACACTGTGGAGTGGTATATAATTCTAAGCGCCATTGCTGTTGCTAACCATTGTGCCACCAGGGCTCTTAAATCAATAAGCTGAGTTCTGAAATAAATGTGCAGCGGAACAAATCCGTTTTAACTACCAGCACTCACAAGGTGTTTTGTTTCAGAAACAAAGATTATGTTGCCTAACCGTCCACTGAATTTGAGATTCTGTCACCTGCAGGTAAGTCCTCCATTTACGAGGACAACTGAGCCCAAAATTTCTGTTGCTAAATGAGACAGATATTATGTGACTTCTGCCCCACTTTATGACCTTTCTTTCACAGTAGCATTAGGACCACAACTTTGTTCTCTGTCTCTCATTTTGTTTTCTTTTGTTTAGCATCCTATTATGATTGATGCTGTTTGCTTGTTTAGTATCCTATGACCATCACTCAGTTAACTATGATTTATAATGATTGCATTTTATTATGATGATTTATCACTTGTTGCGTGTATGTACACTGAGAGCTTATGCACCAGAGACAAATCCCTTATGTGCGCAATCCCATTTGGCCAATAAACAAGTCTATTCTTATTCTTTTTTTTTCCCTCCAACCATCCATTCTAATGATATCCCTTGCCTTTTCATGGGAAAGAACTCAAAACATTTTGAAATATGTTTTAAAAGACTCTTTACTCTTCAGTCTGTTAATCTGCTGCAGGCAATCTAACTACCTAGCAGATCTAAAGGGCAGCTGATATCTTAACAAAAACTAGAAGAGCAATCTATGGGGGGAAATGATTCAGCCTTTCTCAATCTATATATATTTTTTTCTATATCACTATTTCTCCCTCCTTTTTTTTGCATAAAAAGTTTTTATTTTCCATTTTCATAGCATATAATCACATGCATACTATTACATAGTCAATATCACGTTGTATTATTAAGTACTTACATCAATTCATCTTGCCATCAACTACCAAAACAATAAAAAGAAAAAGAAAACCCAGTTATTGGCTCTTCTGCTCTCCATACACCATATTTATACCTTATCCAACACTTTCTTCCCCCTCTCTCCTCCCCCTTTCTACTTCCTGTCTTCACTCCATCCTTTTCTACTCTACTTCCCCTTCCTTTCTCCTTCTCCTCTCTCCCCTTACCACTTCTCCTTATACACCTCATCT